AGACTATTTGCTATACTATTGTAGCAGATTCGCTTTTAGAATCGTGCATCGATATAGTTTTATCTCACGGGAGATGGCGCTAGCCGCGAGGACAGTTCTAAGAAGTGAGAACAAAGGGAAAAACGGCGCGAAGAAAGGAGATACGCCTGATAGTGATGGCGGCAGTTGTGTTTCTAGAATGCGTCCGATGTTAATTACTTAACCGTGTACGTATGTAGCCAGTATGTGTACGTATGTAGCTGTATGCTGTAGCTAGTAGTGTACGTGGTATGTACATGTATAGTATATTTAATTGGTAAAATCGTACGTGTTATGGAATATTGTAGGATTTGTAGACTATTGTGAACGTAATGCAAGTTAACTAAGTCCTATAGGCCTACGGCTAGCGTAGGTGTACGGAGGGAGGGAAGGAAAACTTCATCTGTGTGTTTATTAATTATGAGAAGAATCGTGACACTATAGGGTGGAGAGTTCCACTCTAGTGTGCTGTAGCCAGCAGACTGCATGTGGAACGCCACTGTGTTTTGTCGTTTCTGCTATGTGCATTTGTTTCTCCTATATTATATGCGTGTGTTTTCGCCTCTACGGAATGACTTTTAGCAATTATTGTTGACGTTCGTAAGCGATTTTAGTTTGCGCTGGATGTGCAGGCGTGGCTGCAGTTACTGCCTACTTTGCACATCACTTCGTGACCGGCAACCCCCCCCTCCGTATCTCACTGGACGACTGGAACGCCCCCCCCCCCTTTTCTCGGCGCTCGGGTGTTTGACTGCCTCTGCCTCGTCGCGGTCCTAGTGATCGAATCGGTAAAGGACGGGGAGTAACGGCCCTGTCAGGGTGCGCGGCGACAACGGCAACCATACTATACCACGGCCAAGGGTAGTAGTCGACGCGGTTGGTTAGGCGAATAGAGAGGGTGAAAACCGTTACAACTATAACCCATGTTATCTAATAATTGTTATAAATAAACAAAGGTGTGCGCGCGCTTGTGCATGCGCGTGTGTATTGTTTATTAGTGTTTGTGTGTGTATGTGTATCATGTACACATATGTACATGATATTTATTTATTTATTTATTTATGTTTTTATTTATTCATGTATGTATAATTGAGTCTGGGTTAACCGACCATCTGTGTAACTCGGGACAGTGCGCATATAGCACGCGGATTGACTATCAGAAAAATGGAATGTCGGATAACCGAAGGTCTGCTAACCGACCCCTTTACTGTATTTATGTATTCATTTATTATAGTATTTATTTATTGGCGGTATCAGGGATGTGAATGATAACAGTGAGTTTAACGTTGAAGTGAGTTTCTTCCGTTCGTTGAACATAAACGATAAATAGTTCAATACTTATCATGCTGCCATACTCGCACTTTATTCATAGCTATTGCAACACATCACCTTACAAAACATTCTCGTATACCAAACAAACTCTTCTCGTCATGTCATGCGATTCATTCCAACGGCAACATAATTCCTATGTCATTTTCGTAACAGCAAGAAAGAATCACTTCAAACAAGCAGTTTGTCTCCATCGTTCTGGATACTCTCACAATATTGGTATTTGCATCTTGAGTGGGACAGATCAAGAATCTGGCCCAACAAATTATACATTTATAGAATCTCATACAGGAACAATAGGTAGAAATGATCATTAAACATGACGTTTGCATATACTACATAACATGGATACTACAGGAACGCTGACAATTGCGATATACATAAACTAATAGAATTTAGGCAATCGCTGCATTGTAAGTATTCAATTCTGTCAAACCTGTCCACATATAGTCGCTATCATTAGGCGTACTAATGAACTATTTATTAATAGTTTATAAATGATAATCGGGTACAGAAAACACATTTATAACTAATTAATTCAATATTCTGTGTAATGTCCTGGGGCCCGTTGTCAGAAACAAAATTAGTCTTAACATTAGTCTTAACATTAACTTTTTCTCTTAGACCGTTGACAGAAACGCTGCGAAGTTACGAGAATAAAAAATCGTAGCAGATTTCCTCATAACAATACGAAACAAAGTGATGTCGACGGTCTAGGAGAAATTGTTAATGTTAAGACTAATGTTAAGACTAATTTTGTTTCTGACAACGGGCCCCTGGCCAGTAAGCACGATTAATTGTAAACCATGCATGTCATTATTATATTATTTTTAAATTTACACATTGCTAACTCAGAAATACACAAAAGACTAAAACATTTTAATTTTTTTCCAAATTAATTAAATAACGAACATCTAATGTTAACGATTAACATTATGCCGTGCAATCCAAATTCAGTTATACTGCAGGATGTAAGTAAACACGTGTAAAAGGGAATTGACCGTACACGACCAGTTGATTTCTGATGGCGCGTGCAAT